AGTACTTATTTCGATTTGTCGCTTGCCAAACTATGATCGACCACAAGAAGTTGCTTTCGAACTTAGTGTTAGTAATTTTTATGTGAACTATCGTAGTGGTTCAATGACTTATAGTGCCCTTACTAATGTAGCAATGTCTTGTCTCAAATTGTACTTGATTTTGCTCAAAGCAGGAACTCACATTATTGAAGTCGCTGCTCGTTATTATAACCAATGGAAAACTTTATATCTATGGCGGTAAACTGACGATTCAGATGATGCAGTATCACGCTGGTGCTGACATTATCATTGCGAGTCCTATAATTCGAGGATAAGTGAACAATAGTCTTTTCAGATTTATAGATTTCAATTTATTATTAGTAATCTTGAACTTTCTGCTGATCTTTGAGTGCCTCTTTGTTTCTAATATTTAAAAAACTTTGAAGTACATAATAAAATATAATATGTCGCCTGCGAAATTATTTTAAAACTGTTTAGCTTATTAATAATGATTTAATTCTGAAATCTACTGCAGTTGTTAGATTGAAAGTTGATTGTGAAGACTTCAAATCGTTGTCGCTACTCGAAAAATGTTATTTTCGAAAAACAATTATTTTTCAGACATGTATACAGTATGAAAAAATGAAAAATTCTCAATTCTGTGACATACGATCAATGACTGGCAGTATCACGTTGTCTCACTCATACATTTAAAAGACATAGAGAACGAGTTTAGCTAGCACTTGTCGAACATATTCGTCATAATTTGATTCAAAATATGCTTTCAATTATTTTTCTTCTACACAGATTCGATAGAGACATACAAAAGTAGTAGGTACGATAGTACCAATTAGACTCAGTCAATTATTCAACAATAATCCTAAACCAAAACTAATCCTTAAAATACAGGTGTAGGATAGATGTCACATTCTCCCTCACCATCCTGATTCAACCAACTTTTATTCATCAATGAAAAAAGTCGTCAGGATAAACTATTTATCTAACTGTTATTGGTTTTTTGTCGTATTAAACGATCTGCGATAATTAAACATATCCTGAATGACATCGAAATAACAAATCGGGAATAACTATTCATGAATAGAGTGTGGGTGAGTCCACTCTAATTTAATATCCCACCCGCATCCATAGAAATAATTTATTCAATTGCGTTCGTATTTATTCGGAAAGCTGTAGCGTATTTTGTATCGAATGAATCATAAAAAAAAGTCAACAATGTTTTTGACTATTGTAAATAATACAGAAATCTATTGTCGGTTCGATTGTTCGCTTTCACTTACACAGAAAAGAAACTCTACAAGTGAAAGACGCACTATGCATTTCTTTCTTTATTCTCACCAACAGACATTGTACACAAATCGAAATGAGAGCGAATTCTACTCTTATGCAACAAGACTGAGTCGTACTCTCCAAATGAAAATTTTAAAAATTATTCGTTGTTCAATATATTTTTGCCAATCAGGTAAGTATCATATCAGAAAAGGACTAGTAAAAACCCAAGAAAAAAATATGGCAGGCTCTTTTAAACAAGAAAAGAAAGAATTTGTTAATTGATGTTAATTGAGTATGGTCAGCTTTGTTATTAAAATAATTTCTTCGTCAATAGAGATTATCCGAAGTAAATTCCTTTTTTAGTTTAAGAAAAAAATATAAGTCCACTGCAAAACTGACTCTGAATGTTGTGCACACTACCAGGGGGGTGACCGCCTCTCCTTTCCCAGTCTTGAAAAATTTTCGTTTTTTTTCTGCTCAACAATCTGCAAAAAAAGCTTGTACCCCCAAAGTTCGATCATCTGTAGAATAAAGTTTTTAACGATTTTTTTATATTATCGATTTTACGAAATCCATGCAAATTATGGTTAATTTAGCGTGGAGAAAAGCACATGTCTATCAACTTAACAGTCTAGAGTTAATTGTATGAAAAGAAAAACAAATATGTAAACATCAAAATACTCAAGTAAGATTAAGAAAAATCTATCAGCACAGCAGCACATACATCTGTCAATTGTGCCATTCTTGATTTGATGAGTCATCAAATGCAATTTCTTGTTTTCATTTTTGAAAAGAATGTCCTTAGGCATGATACTATGTTCTTTACTTTTCAAAAAAAAAAATCAGAGAAGGAGTGTGACATTTTTTGAATTTTCTATTCTCATTGACTAAGCAAGTGTTAGATTATGAATACCGACGTAGATTTATTATCCACATCCATATTCTACCGTTGTAGATCGATCTCGCGTTAGCTGAGGTGTATTGGTTCCTAATTGTAAGATTTTTTCAAAAGGATTCGTTTTTAACGAGTTTTTCTTCATGAAAAACTATTTGTTAATGCTTTGAAATAAAGTTAGAGTCGAGATTCATAGGAAAATGAAGTTTATTTTCGTTTCTATTTGAGTTTCATCTCTTTTGACAAGCTTCAATATTTCTCTTGTTTCAAAATATCGAAAATGAAATTTGTTGTGGTTGACATCTAGCATGGTCTTAAGACATAAAATGATCAGTTCGATTGTCTAATTTCAGTTTTTGTTTCTCTGTTTAATTATTGTGATTGTTAGTAAATATTATTAAATATGGTATTGCACATATAACAGGTATCGTTAGGCATATCTATGANATTACGACGAATGGTTTCCATCGCTACCTAAATCACTGTCAAATCAACCTTCTGACAGCAATCACTCTTCTCGCGAAGTCTGTGTTGTTGTTCTCTTTTCTGACGTCTATTTATTTTTCTTTTATTTTTTCCAGAACCAATCATCCCAGGTTCCACAACAAACAACAATGGGTAAGACAAACGATTCACTAGAATCACATATATTACATATTAGTGCGATCGTTCGATTTTAGCAGCTACTCAAATTAATTTTTTTTTCTTTATTCGAAATGAAATGTGATATATTGTAGCACATAACGATAAATGCAAGAACCAGCCGTCACACACAGCAGAAAACTCTCGAGCATCGAAAATATTGCCAAATTCAATATCACAATCATCAAAAAAATATTCAGCAGGCTTTATACCTGTCACCTTCGCTTCTAACATTCCAACGATGCCCATTCAATCCAATGTGATAACTGAAAGTAATCTTTAACATTCGCGTAGTTCATTGATATATAGAATTGTTCTTATTTTTGTCAGACTCTCCGATACCTCAATATAAATTTTCATATCAACAAGATATTCTTCGAAAGTTATCCGAAATCATTTTAATCCTTCATGGAAGAAAAGAATTCGTTTCACGTGAACGTGTAGAAAATGAATTGTTTACTTATTTTCGTGTCAACTCTTGGTCACAGTTAGGTGTTCGTCCCGGTGAACTCAGTCCTCTAGTAAATCTAACTGAACGATTGAAAAAAGTGAAGTTCTTCATGCAAATCTTCGAACAAATTTTTATGCTATGCACATTACACGATCTTGGACCGATTCTAGCCAAATTTCTCAATGTTAATACTTATGAAGACGCACATTTGGGTCCACTCGATGAAAATCCGGATGTAAAACGAGTATTCCGTTATGAACCAACTCAACGCTATCAACCAATTCCAATTATGACGAGCAGCGATGTCATTTCTTCATTCATTAATTTTCAAGCAATATTCAAGCGAAACTTAGCATTTGGTAATTTTCTTGATGAGCTTGTCAAGTTTTATCGATTACAATCACGAAAAGAACTAGGCCTCTATTGTAAATCATTTCCATTCTTGGTGCAAGTATGAACGTTGTGTTTCATTGTTGTATTTTCTATGATATTATTCTAGGTTTCTAGTTATGTAAGACGGAACTCTCAATGGCATATAAATGAAATGCAAACAAAAGCAGTAGAGGATTTGACTAGTACCATTGCTGCACGTTTATCAGATTTTCGGCAAGAAATGCATGGTGAACTCGAGCCCTCATCATACAATAAGAAAAAATCTCCTATAGCAGTATTCAATCATTTAACTTCAATAGTCGAAAAATATCTTGCGTTTATACCTGAACAATCGCTTGTCTACTACACACTGATTCAACTTCGTCAAAATGAACTACTTCAATGGCTGTTGAATATTAGTATCTATTTGGGCAGCTTCGAAAGGCCTGATTTATTTGCTGTTGAGCTTGATAAAATTTGTCGTCATCAAAGTGATCATTTGAGATTACAAACATTGATGATGCTTTATCAAAGTCTACCGTCGAATCGGAATATAAGTCAGATGGATTACGGTCGACTACAAACTATGATACAACAGCAATACAATCACTTGACTATTGGGCACAATGTGAGTTATATTCTCATTGAAATTCGTCAGGAACTCTTTTTTGAGGTAGAATCAGACATTCTACATATGATTTTACTCTAGAAAATTTCAATTGAATTATTTATTGAAAGTAGACTTTTCAGAAATGATTCAATCGCTTCTTTTAATATTGATAGTACTGTTCATTTTATGCTATAGTTACGTAATCAGCTGTTTTCTTGTTTGGAAGTTTCCAATGAGTTTATATTTGATTATAGCCAACACCGATGAACACTTCTTCATTTCCAATAGTCAATACATTGCTACCAGCTAATGATGGCAGATCAACATTATCTGTAAGTCTGAAGCAATTCTGTTCGTATCTTTCCGAAATTCTGATGAAGCATGAAACAACTCTTACAGTCAAACAGTTTCTGCAACTTGAAAATCATCTTTGCACGAAATATAATGTTGATAGTTTTGGTGCGTTTAAATTCAATGAAAATGATATTCATGATACTGATGTCAACTTAGTTTCTTTTCTTGATACTCATCAAAAATTAATCGATCCAAAAGGTGAACTGTCCGTTTACGGATATAATGTAGCCAGAACGGATCGAGAAGAATTGTTCGAATTTGTCAACCAATTGATCGAATCGAATAGTGACAGACAATCCGTATCTTCACAAACTTTACAGTTTGATATGAATTCCAACAATGAAGATATTCAAATTAGTGCTGATAATCTACCGATATTGGAAAAAGTGATAATACATAAATTTGGTGGCCTACTTGGTTTTCAAACAGGAGCCAGTATTCTTAGAAAAGCCAAACAATTACGTGCAAAAACAGAATATTCAATTATTCGGTAAGCATTATATTTGTTGATAGACATTCGGCACAAAAAATTTTAGTTTTGAAGAATCACTTTTGGATTTCAATCAACTGAATCGAATTGATATATGTCCACCAATGCCGATTGCAGACGAAAATCAATTATGTCAATTTATTCTTCAATGTCCAATCATGATCGATATGTACACATGGTTACAGTGGACTTATTTCTTTGAACCAAACTATGGCAATCTAAAAACATTTATTAGAAAGCATAAATATCCATTACAAAATCTATTGTTACTTGAAACATCAACACATGAACTTCTTCGATTGCCTGCTGATGTTACTCTAAGGAGCTTTGAGGATGAATTGCACGCTTTTCATGTACGCTCAGCTGTTGGTCACTTATGTGCATTAATCACTTGTGAATACGGTTTAACTGCTCGAGTTCCATTGAATGTTTATCGAACATCCATACGTACATGGTTTATCCATCTACAATCATCAGCTATGATACAAGATAATAATCGAGAACCAATGAAATACATACTCGAATTTCTAACCTATCTACCAGTATTCATTGGACAAGCACGACTTATTCAAGAAATTATATTGGGACCACTTGACGACGTATTCCGAAGAGTTGGAATAAATTCAGTTAGTGCACGAACAAGAATATGGAGCACAGCAGATGAACGACAAAGAAATAAATTAGAAATGTGGGGTCATACACTCGATATCAACGAATGGAAGAATAACAGTAAATGGTCTGGAGAATATCGTTCGGCCGAAGATAGAGTGTATGTTCTTGAACCATCATCGGACACTAGATCAAATTCAAACGAAACCATAGTTCAAGGTAACAAAAATTTTGATTGTGAACTAATAAAAAAAGATGTTTTACAAATTGAATTCATACGAGTGAGAAAATTTCTAACCTCAATAGTCATGTTTCTCGATTATAATATGATTTGATGAGTTCGCTCTAAACGATTGTTAATGAAAAAATCACATATTTTCGTGAGATTCTAAAGGTTTGTGTGCGCTTATTAAATTTGTATATAGAGAATACTGCTGAAAAGCTTCGTGTTCTAATGTTTATAATATTTATTTACCATGTATTATGAATTCGTGTTATTTTCTTCACAGACAATGCTGATAAGCCAACAACAGTAACAGTTGCACCGCATGTTACATCCCAACTCAGTCAGTCAGATTCGACTTCACTTGAAACTAAGAACAAGGATGAAAGTCAATCAGTTCGAGCTGCATTCGAACATATCGAATCGATTCGACGTGGTTTTGGTGTTGACAGTGGTCTCGATGCAAGTGGTCAATCGATTGTTAACAATCTTCAAGGAATGATTGAACGAAGCTTACAAAAATTGTCCAACGATCTATATTCAGAACAGGGTCATTTCGTCTTGGAACTCATTCAAAATGCTGATGACAATCAATATGCATCTGATTGTTTGCCAACACTTCGTTTTGTTCTATCAGATAAACGAATCTTAGTTTGTAACAATGAAATTGGTTTTCAACCGAATAACGTTGATGCCATCTGTAACGTGGGTGCAACAACCAAAGGTAAACACAAGCAAGGCTATGCTGGACATAAAGGTAGAGCATTGTTTGACGTAAAAATGAAAATAACTAGAAGAATTTTAATTTTTAGGTATTGGATTCAAGTCTGTCTTCATGGTATCTAATCGTCCTGAAATTCATTCACGTGACTATCATTTCTGTTTTGATACTGCCGATGGTAAGGAACAAATAGGATATATTCGTCCGATTTGGTTAGACAAATGTGATGAACTATTACCGTCTGCTGAAGAATGGACAACATGTATTCGTTTACCAATCCAACGAGGAAGTCGACTCGAAGAAAATTTTGATAACATTCAAGCAAAACTATTACTCTTTCTGAATCGTTTACGACGAATTGAAATTGTGGGTCAACTGTCAAGCGCTACGACTAATGATCAAAGTCGTATTTTCACTAGAATCGATCATGCCAATGGGGAAATAATTGAACTACAAGAAACGACAACAAATGGAACAGTTACCAAAAATTTATGGCTTGTCGTCAAGAAAGTGCTTCAAGTACCCGAACATATCAAGGTGATAGAACGTTTTGCGTTTGCTTTAGAACTAGATATATTAATTAAATAATACATATTTCAGGAGAAACTACGCGAAGTCAAATGTGACGTACACTCGACATCAATTGCTATTGCTTATCCATTAAATAATCTTCAAAACTTAATTCAACAATTGCCACCAGCTCAACCTCTCTTCGCCTATTTACCACTTCGTTCGTATGGGTTTCGTTTTATTCTTCAGGCTGATTTCGAAATACCTGTTACACGACAAGAAATTCTTCATGACAACATATGGAATGAATGGCTCAAAAATGAAATGGTTCAACTTATTCCTTTGGCATATACACACTTTCAAACTCTACCTGATCTTCTTGCATCATTGTTGTCTTCAATAGAAATCGGCAGTCAATTAACAGCTGTTCAAGTTTTAATCTATTTTCTTAAGCTTATTCCTACTCGTAATGAACTTGATCCTTACTTTAATCCATTTGTTGATAAGACCATGAAATTACTCATGGGTATTATAAAATTACCCGTGTGTCGAGAAGATACCAGTGGTCAATTACATACTGAATGGGTTCAACCTTCACAATGTATTCTTGTAAAAGATCCATTTATACGAAAGATTCTTCCTCAAGACTTACTTTTGTCTCATTTTAATATGTATTACATACCTGAACAGTTGGCATCCGAATGTAATGAGCGTACTCTAATTAAATTAGGTTGTGCTCCGTTACAATTTTCTTCCATTATTCGACTTATCAAAGGATTGTACAAACATCAAGAACAAGAACACTCTACGAAGACATCCAGTATTGAGCAAAGTGAGTCAATAATATTTGTACCCATGGAAGGTGTACTTACTATTTAAAAAGAATCTTCAGATCCACCTATATTGCATAGATGCTCATGTATATAATAGAGTTAATTTATTGATTCTTGGTGACAGAGAATTATTTCAGTTATCTATTCGTAACATATCTTAATTATATGTCTGAATTCGAGAACTTTTATGTTCTGCTTCTCAAAAAAAGCATTTGAGGGTGGTATTTAAATTTAATTGCTCTACAAAACTGCTGAGTTCTTTTTTCTAACAAATTTTTCATTTTGATACAAAATTCACATGTATTAAAATTTCCAACTACAGCAATGAGAGAAAATCAAAAATATTACAGAGATTTTTAATTAAAACAACACTTATATCATACTGATGTGAATGAAATCATACATCTAATAATGTAAGAGATTTCATTTTTTATCATAAGTTTTGGTGAAATTTAAGAAATTAATGTTTTATACATTGAAAAAGATATTTTTTTTAAAAATTGTTTTACAAAATAATTAAGTTCTACTTTAGTTGCTCAATGGTTACTCTGTATCGACCTCATTCTTCAACAACAGCAAGAGGGTGAACAAACACGTGGTGGTCATAATGAACGAGTTGAAACAACGTCTATAACCGAATTAAAACAATTGAAAATTATTCCATTAAATGGTCATTCTCGATTAGTATCGATCGATGAATATTATGAACAAGTGATACTTTTCCCATTATCGAAAACAGCACAATATAAGAAACCGTTCAAGATCGTACTCAATGATTTACCTACACTCGATGAGCGATTACTTCAATATATCGAAGATAAATTTCCACGACGATATGAATCAATTGTAAATCTACTTAAAAGACTTGGTAAGTATTAGAAGGATTTTTCCTGTTATATTTATAAAAAAAAAACATTGGTGATATAGGTTTAATCGAAACACCTATGATTAAGGAAATCTATCGATTACACATGCGACCTATACTTTTGGATGTAAATCGTTGGTCAACTGAATCTGATTCTGTTCTTATTGCTTTTCTCTTATGTATTTATACACATCTTGATCAATTCGAAAATGAAATTGATCAATTGAAAAAGCATATGGTTATTAAAACACATAGTGGTCAATTTGTTCGTCTCGATACACCAGGTACTATCATTCATTTGGCATCTACATATGGATGTACAAAATCACTAGAATCATTGATATCACCCAAACATGAATTCACATTTATCTCAGATGATTACATAAATAACTATCGTAATGAATTATTTCGTACGAAAGACGATATAAATAACTTTGTTCGATTTCTTGGGCAACTCAATATCATCGAATCTCTTCAAACTAACATAACTGATACACGTAAGTATTTAAAGTATTAGATCATATCTATTATAATTTTTTTTTATTTAGACTTTATTAATGTTGTTCAACTTCAAACAACTCAATGGGCTTATTTAATTCCAGAATTAAATGATATAATTCGTCAACCATTCATAATCGAAGATTGTTGTTGCAATGAATTTAACATACTTGTTGCACCATCCAATAATACTACTGCTGGTATCGATTTATACTCTAAATTATTGATCTATTTAGATCGCCATCATGCAGCACTTGCTTCGTGCTATACAGCATCAATAATTTTAGCTGATCAAGTCAAATCTGGACGAAGACGACCGGAAAAAAATATCCCATCAACATTTTGTTTATCTTTAAGACAACATGCTTGGATACCGATTGAAGGTGGTAAATTAGCTAAACCAGATGATGTCTATTGTTTATCTCCGAAAAGTGAAACATCATTCTTTCATCGTTATGTATTACATTTGGATCAAAGTAAAGTATCATTGAACAGTCGAGAGTTTATGTTGAACATACTTGGACTTCAAGAACATGTATTACCTATGACCATGTTTGAGCTATTCATGAAATGGTCGTGTGGTCTTGATCGGGATGCATTATGGATGTTATTGAGTGATACAAATCAATTGGATATGTGAGTATTATTGAAGATTTTCACAATTGTATCTTTATTAAAGTGGAAAGTCCTAAAAATACTTTAAACATATTGTCAAAACGAGTATTTATCTTCAATTGATGAGTATTCATATGTGAAAGTTACTGGTAATTGAACTTCAGTTAATGCTATCTAAAGAAAAATCGCTTACTATCAAGAATTTCGTATGACCCTGGGGAAACTATAGTGTATTTTGTAAAAGTTTTATTATCTCTCTTTTGAGATGGCATACCTTTTGAAAATACGGTATATTCAGATTCGAACAGCAATTTTTATTTTTGACTGGTTATTCCACAATCAATCAGTTGCAACAGATCTGTTTCTTTTTATAACAAAGTTTTGTCGATAACATTGAATTGATTCTTTTGAATAAATCATAATTGATATTCGTTGTCTCTTTTAGAATACAATGTTCGCTACCAGTAACTTTTCGTCAATCGTGTTACGACACAATTCAAAATATTCATCGTATCTATTGTTTTCTTATGACCGACAATACTACTCTCGATGCTTTACGCCGTTTTCGATTGTGGCCATTAGTATTTATACCCCGAAATAATAGTAGAGGTGAATTTTTATTTGCTCATCGAGTCTATTGGCAGGACTCAACATCGTTATTGTCGAAACTGGATAATGCCACTTTGCCGAATTCAGATCGTCGTATCTCTATTCAACGATACTATAGTAATGATGGTAAATTTAAAAAATTCTTTGTTGATACACTACAGATTAACATTGAACCTACGATCGATGATTATCTTTCATTTTTGATACAAATATCAAATATAAATGATATCTGGCGACTTATTGAAGTGATCCTACGATTAGCATTTCAACAAAAGCGACAGATAGAAGTTAAAGGTAATAACTACGCACTTATTATATTAAAGATCATTACAATTAAAATATTCTATATTCTATATAGATAGATGTCTACATTTACCGTTTATTCCATGTATGGGTACGAAGAATATGAGAGTCAAATATACAGATCAACCATTGTATCCACATGATCCTGATATTGCTGCTTTCTTATCAAATACATTACCAATTATTCAATTACCGAGTAAATAGAATTGATACTAGCATACTGATTTTAAATAAGTCTTTTGTTTCGTTAGATTGGACTCTGTCTTCTGAATTCAAAAACAATTTTTGTTTACTCTTCGAAATTCGAAGTTTAGCAGATGTTATTCAATTACAAGTCCATGTCACTAATGAACAATTATCCATAGATTTATTCAATTTCTATTCTCATTCCCTTGAACTCATCCAAAATTTTCTTGCTTCTAAATCGTTCATATCCGAAGAGCGTTCAAAATATTTGGCATCAATTTTTGCTCGTATGCATTTTTTTCGTGTTGATCAAATTCAACTTTCATATCACTATCAAGCTCATACTTTACGAACCGAAATGTGTGATGCTTATGTTGATGAACGTGCAGGACGATTCTATATTTTAAAAGTATTCGAGAAATCCGAGATACGTTACATCGAGACTATGGTCAAATATCTTGTTCAAGATCGGATGGCCGTAACCGAACTGACATCCTTTATTATGAAACTATCACGAATCTTCCAGAATGAGGGCGAACAAGGCTTGATAAAACATTGTGATATGATCACTACTAAAGAACATGAATACAAATGGATATTTCCTAATGTCTATGTGACTCCATCACCACCGTCTATTGAAGAAATTTCAGTGAACGACGAACCGATCGATATAACCGATGAAATGACTGAAAAATTGATGAATGAGCCGTTGCCCGAACGAAAACCTCGATCACAAATAACAATGGTAAAAGACGAGGAGAAAAATCCGACTTGTTTTCCTCCTAAAGCAAATACTACTGAATCTATAGAATTTTCAAATACAAAATCTCATCCAGAAGAACAAAGACAATCAACGAATGCAACTAGTGTTGCAAGGCCTAATCACTCACCATCGTCTGATTCAATATCAGAAGTATCAAGAGAACCAGAGAGTAACCATTTGATAAAAGGTAAATTCCTACTTGAAAGAATATTATTGTTCACTGTGCTCTTCTTTTCAAATAGATAAAAAGACCAGAGAATCGACTCACAAGGATCGATCTCAAGTCACAACGATTGACTGTTCGAATTCTACTTCGGTTGAAGTAGCCAAATTTCAACGTATTCGAATTTCCACTCTAACTGGCACAAAGTTCTATATATTATCGTCATCTTCAATTACAATTAATCCTGCTGATAACATTGTTGATAATAATATCGGTCGTCAAGGTGAAGAACTTGTTTTTAATTTTCTAAAATGGAAACATCCTGATAAACAAGTCAAATGGATGAATGAACGAAAAGAATCAGGTGAACCATACGATATTGAAATTAGAAAAAATGATGATATTGAAAGAATCGAAGTAAAAACAACTCGAATTCCTGATCAGCATACATTTCAAATATCGATCCGTGAAATTCAATGTCTACTTGAAAATCCAATGAACTATCATATTTATCGAGTATACTATTCCGACAATCCTGATTTGACAAAAATTACCATACTCAGTCAAGTGAAATATCATTTAGAACAGAAACAACTTGCACTTTGCATGACCATTATGCAACAAGCTGATGAACAGCTAAAATAGTCTGAAATGTTTTCTTTTCGTCATTCTTAAAACTTTCATAAATAATACAGGGTGTGGGTGTGGATGTAAATGAAGAGATAATCCCTACTCACACTTACACTCATCCACTCTGCCCCACATCCACAATCACACCTTAGCGAAATACCCACACTCTATCTGTTGTGTACCAACGAAGTTTTCATAGAATGTTTTTAATGCTCTAAAGAGTGTTAGTTTTTCTATTGTTCCTATTATTCTTCTCGATGCTCTGATCTATGAATCCAATTATGCTCCGTGTTTCTGAATCCACAACGAACGCACTTTGTGTTTGATAAGAAATTGTTAGCTTCTTCTGAACTTTGAAAAATATCATCTGATGAGGACTTGGTAGCACGGATATTTGCAGGCGTGGATAGATGATTGCGCAATGAAGATGCCAATCAGTTAATTTCAATAGAGAATACAATCATTTGCAATACCAGCATGGTACCTATGCATAAAGCCAATGAAATAAAACTATGAAATAACAAGTTACATAACTATTTTCGACTTACAGATCATGGTGAGTCGCATTTTTCAAAGTATCGACAGATCTCAGTTGAATTTTTATGCGAAATGTATGTGCACAAATTTGTATTGCTGGTTGGCTTATCCCAACTTTCAAAAACTCAGCTTTCTGTCAATGTTAAGAGGAAGTGACGTAAGAATCGACAAATGTTGATAAGCACGGTATAGTAATTTTTTATGCATTATGACAGCAGTCTTTTTTGTGTTAAATGGTGTGCAGGAAAAAAACAGCAACATGACGGGTGTGGGTGTGTGTGGCTGTGGGTGCAGCTGTGGGTGAGGACAGGTGTGGATGTGGGTATGGGTGTTGATCTTCGATCTGGTAAAAAGAAGACTGACACCCACACCCTTCATGCAGACTTCTTTACAGTTTGGCACATTCCCAAAATCAAATAAATGTGGAAACCTCGGACTTACGTCCGAGAGTTATGTGTACTTCAAAAAGTGAATGAAATAAATCAGCCATCCTAGAATGTGTAGATATGCAAATTAGTTTGGCAAATCTTTTCTATGAACACTTGAATTCTATTGATTATTGCTCAAGCAATAGGATTTAGGGGCGAATACAGCTCAGAATTGAACTCTACGCCTTAATTTACCCTTCGAAAGTTGTGTTTTCTATAACTTGATTTCCATTGATCCGTGGTGAACCAATAGGGCTTCGAAACAAGTCGACAGTTAGAGCGTGAACAAGAAGGGTGCCGATGTGGGTGGGTGTGGGTGTGGGGTGTAGAGTGTGGGTGTGTGGTGTGGGTGTGGGTGTGGGCGTGGGCGTCAGGCAGATAATAATACCCACTTCCATACCCATACCCACACCCACCCATACCCAAACCCATACACCCACACCCACACGCACCCACACCCACACCCCCCCACCCACACTCACCCCCCCANCAGTCGAATTTGTAAGTCTTTTTCTTAATGAATAATATTAGTTAAAATCTTTTAAAAAGTATTTATCGAATTATGTTAATATTCGAAACCTTTTTAGTTGAATGCACGTGCTATTCAAATAGTGATTTAAACAGAGAAATATCAGTATTAGTTTCACGGTGATATTTGACTTTAGAATGAGATCTATATTAATTGGCAGCTATTGTGTTCACAAGGAAGTCTTGATAAGATTAGATAAATTGTAAAAGGGTTCGTACTCATGGGTCTCTGATTTCGAGTTATGATCATTTCATCATGCACCGAAAAATCAGATAGCGATAGTTACATACGGATTTGTGTGCATTAATAGCTCGAATCGGTAATAGAATATCCTGAAAAAAAATCTTCCTTTGTCCAATATATCGACAAAGAAATATTCTTTTCAGCTGAATATTTTAAGTTCTTCTAGCAGCCATTTGACCTATTTATACTTGAAATACGATTATTCGATTTTCCGGTAAATAGCTAAAGCTAGATCGAAAGTTCAGTCACACAGTCATAATTCGGCTCCAAAGAGCCCCATAGGAACGAATCGTATTGGGATTTTTCTTGTCTTACTGAGATTTTCTGGTGATATATCAATAGATGGCGCTACTTCCGCCGTATCTGCCTGTGATGATGGTGAAATACTGTGCTAACTGCTCGGCAGTTCGCAGTATAACTTAATAATGCATACACTATTACATACAAAAAAAAATTTCCTCGACTAGCCTACATATTTTAAGTGCGTGGGTCAAAATCGTATAATCGCCTCTAAATCAATCACAAGAAGAGCTCAAGACCCAGTCAGACAAACTTTTCAGAAAACGCGTTTAAACGCACAGAAATTGGCCTAAAATCCGCAAAAAGTGGACGTTTTTGGCTCACATTCGCGGTTCCCGACTGTGAGCCAAAAACATCCATTTTTCGCCCTTTCTGTGTGTTTAAACGCGTTTTCAGACAAGAAACGCGTGCACACGCATATAAAAAAGAGAAAAAGTGGTCGTTTTCTAATACTCGAGATGCATGATCATGATTACAGTAATGTTTCTGAAGTTGGGAAAACAAGACACTTTTTTTCTCTTTTTTGTATGCGTGTGCACGCGTTTCTTATCGGGAAAACGCGTTTAAGCGCACAAAAAGGACGAAAAATGGATGTTTTTGGCTCACAATCGGGAACCGCGAATGTGAGCCAAAAACGCCCACTTTTTACGAATTTTAGGCCAATTTCTGTGCGTTTAAACGCGTTTTCTGAAAAGTTTGTCTGCCCGGGTAATAGTTCTATCATGTTTCATAACAATCATTGAACACATTGTTAGGATCGATGTGCATACCTATGGAAACATTTCATACTCTAATGATACAAGAGAACTTTTTGAGAAACACAAATATTAGATATGATAATCGGTATGAATAAAAAGAACTATCCATATAACATTTTTTGTTAGAAGAGAAAAAATTTGCATGATTATATGTTTTTAATACACATACTCTTGCGTTTCTGAGCGACATAGTTTTGTGAAACATGATCTGAAGATGTGGGTGTGAATTCATAGAGTTTCTAAATGTATACCCACACCATCTGATCAAGAGAAACAATACTTAATTTCTGTATATTTTGTACACTTGGACCTACGAAACAAGGTATACGGAAACACATTGTTCTGAAACATATAGTATATTCGTATGTTCTATTTCAGATTCTCATTAAAAACATTGATTCGATCATTAATAATATAAATCGAGAAAATAAGTAAACAAAGAAAATTAATTTAAACTATTGAACAAAGAGTAATCTCAATTGTGTTCATTTTTAAATGACACATACACACAAAAGAAGGAAAAAGATTGTCGGAAGTTTGCCGGTGTTTTTACTTTCTTTATTTATTATAAAAGGATTTAATATAGTGATCGTAATTGACAAAAAGTATAGTAGAGTCGAAAAAAAAACGAGAACTATGTATTCATTAACCATTCTTTTCCTTTTTTCTTTCTTTCTTCTTTATACTCATTTGCAAAATCTAAGTTTACTTTCTATATTATATTTTATTTAGAAAGAAAGCTTGTCATTATATCAAAATAAAATCGACTTATTTCATATTTATCAATCATATTGAAATATAACAATGCCTGAATTAACTTCGACTGACGCACAAGAAACTGAACTTATGCGACATATCTTTTATGGCAATTTGCATAATTTACCTAGTCTTGCTTCAAAAATTGTACGTATTTTTACCTCATCTACATTTACAGGTAAATGAATTCGTAATTTATTTTGCTAACGATAAACAAATAAAAATTCTTATATATTTAAGATACAAGTATGGAACGTAATTCACTCATGCAACATACATATCCAAAACTTAAAGAATATTGTCGAGAAAAACATGGTCTAGAATTTCAAGTTGTTGATATGCGTTGGGGTGTACGTGATGAAGCCACAGATGATCATAAAACAACAGAATTATGTATGCAAGAAATTGATAATTGTCAGCGAGTTTCTGTTGGACCAAATTTTGTGGTATAGAATATGTTTATAATGACAAAAAAAAATTCTCGAATTTTTTTTAAAGATTTAAATAAAACTTATTTATTTCATCTAGGTATTTCTTGCTCAAAAATATGGTTATCGTCCATTACCAACAAAAATTGAAGAAGCTGAATTTCGTAATATTTTATCTGTATCAAGTCCAGATGATGCTCGATTACTTAGTCTATGGTATAAACTTGATTCAAATAATATTCCAAGTTTATTTTGTTTACAACCAGTCAGTTCAATTTTTACTAATTTTACTAATAAAGCTCATCCTCGTCTTATGGAAGAAGATCAAAGTCAATGGTGGGAAACTATGGGTAAACTTAATCGAGCAGTTCGTGTTGCTGCTTTAGAACTTTTAAATACAGGTGTATTTTCAGCATTCGATAATCATCGATATAATTGGTCAGGTGAGTTAATAATGAATTCTTTTAAATATAATAAACAATAAATTTCATTAAATTTAGTTACTGAACAAGAAGTTGTTCGAGGAATATTAAATGCTAAAGATCAAGTCGATCATACACTAGCTTTTTTTCGTCATATTGAAAATATTAATATCGGTTTACTACGTCATTCAATGAAATTTATTGATATTGTATCAAAACAAGTTGATGAAGAAGCACAACGTATGTTATCCGATTTACGTGATGTTCGTGTAAGTTGAATAATTAACAAAAAAGAAAACAAATTCGAATGAATGAAAATCAAATTTAGGTAACAGCGGTATTACCTGAATCAAGTATAATTCGATATACAGTTCAATGGACCGATGAAGATGGTTTAAATAAAAACTTTCATGCTGAATATTTACAAAATTTTATTGAAACATTTTATACTCGACTCATAGAGTTAATTGATCGTGGTGTTGGACAACAAAAAGGTTTAGCATCTAATCGGTAAAAATTAAAATTTTGTTATTTAATATTAATTATATATACTTCATCTTGTTCAAATGTAAGAAAAAAAGAAAAGAATATTTAGTGTATTCATAATTTTTTTTTCAATTTTATTTATTTCTTCCATATGTTTGATAGAAATTTTCAGCCTGTTAATTTTCTTTTCAACATGTTGCTCGTATTCATCAATAGTCATTAAATTGAATTTATCTTAAATTATTGAAGAAATAAGTTTTGACTTTTATTTTGTTTTCTTTGTATATTATTTCTTAGATAAAAGATTATTATAATTATCTAGATATAATTAATAGTGAAGTCATTATTACTTTTGTCATATGATTTTTTTTATTAATTAATAATAACTGGTTAAGTTTTGCTCATTTGTTGCCGACGATTTTGATATAATATATTGTGCTGAAAACAATCTAAAATTAACTTGCAAACAAATGAAAGATCATTATTGTTAGAATTGTTTGTCAGTGTTTTTATAGCCTTGCTCGCCTCTAGTTAAATCTGAATGTTTAGAACCAATGTTTGTTCCGGAAAGTCAATTTAATGTTTCTACTTATAACTACAAAGAAAACTTTTCTATTAAGTCTGTTAAGTACCAATATACTTATCATTTATAAATATTATTAGATAGAAGTTGAGATTGCTCTAATGAAACATAATATGTACAGACTTGTTTTAAGCACAAAGCGGAGAAGAATAATAAATATGACTATTCGATTCTGAAAATAAATTATGTTTTTATTTAGGAGAATAAAAGGAATATTCTTGAATCATTCCAAAAATTTCCATTCATTTGTAATGACTATAGATCGATTCATCGATTTAGATCTTTTTGAGACGTGATTTATGAGGGAAGATTCGCAAGTGTGATTCTCGCTCATGTGTAAAGCTCGTCGAAACTAGACGAATCAATCAAGGATTCATCTTTATACGAAATTTTCTTCTAAAGTTTGAAGTATTTTACTGGTTGTTCAATCCCTAGCGTATTATTAGCTAGAAAATCGAATGAAGAAATATACACTAGAAACTTTGTTCCCAAACGGAACTCACAATCAGTAAACTGCCGAAAAAGTTTCGGTCAACGTGAATAAGCCTTTTTTAGAGAAATGGAATGGAAGAAAAAAATCAGTTTTATAGAAATACGATAAAATCATATCTTTTCAGCATTCAATATCTCTAGAAAAGATTATTCATCTTGACTGAAACTTAGTGAACGACTTATTAGCTGTGAGAGCTGTTCATAGGCTAAGTGTCTAATACATATGACTTCATTCGATATTTCAGCTAATACTTGATCGAAGATTGTGAAACTAGTAAAATAACTGTAATTTTAGAAGGGCTTGACATACGGATGAATCCTTGTAGGACTCTTCTAGTCTCGACAAATCATTTGAATGAGCAAAAGATGCGTTTGATCGGCAATGCATATGTGAAGAAGTTGTCTCATAAGTATATGTAATAGAAAGAGTTTTAAAAAATCTTGACACAATCGGTGCCATAGAGCAAGGAAGAGTTAAACAATATCCACTGATTTTATATTCTAATGACAAAGCAAAAATAATTTTATAAAATTTTATTTTTTTTTGTTATTAGAGCCTATACAGAAATTCTTCAACAACTTCATGTTGTAAATAATTTCAGTCAAGATTTTCAAGGACGTACTGATGTTCTAGAACGTGTACATAATTATGTTCAAGGTTCTTCAAAACAGCCATTAGTTTTATGGGGTGAAGGTGGTTGTGGTAAATCAAGCATGTTAGCAAAAATAGTATCAGAATCTAATTCATGGTTTTCATCAAAACAGTGTACACCAATAAGACTTGTTCGTTTTCTTGGTACAACACCAGATAGTTCATCAATTGGTCCATTATTACGAAGTGTTTGTCAACAAATAAGTTATCTATATGACGTATTAGATAATGCAATACCAACTGAACTATCTCAATTAATAAATCATTTTAAACGTTTATTAGAAAAAGCAACAGCAGATAAGCCATTAAATATTTTTTTCGATTCATTAGATCAATTATCATCAGCTGATGGTGCACATTCAATGTCTTGGTTGCCGCCAATTCTTCCAAATCATGTTAAATTTGTAAGAAAAAAATAAAATAAAATAAGAATATTAAAATTTTTATAATAAAAACAAAACAATTAATAATTGTAGATTGTTTCAACATTACCTGGAATATATAATATATTAAATACACTTCGAAATTTAATTGATAGTCATGAAAATTTTGTTCAAGTAAATATATTTTGAAGAATTTCTTCTTGTTATTATAATAATTGTTTATCTTTTTGCAATTTAGATAAAACCATTAGGTGAAGAATTAGGTAAAACAGTATTAAAAGCTTGGTTAGTTCGTCATCATCGATCAATATCTGAACCACAATGGTTCGTATTTCAATTTAACTGTTGTTTTTTTTTAATTTTTTGTACACGTTTAATAACTCTTTATGATAAAATAGGGGATTAGTTCATGAACGTCTTGCTGAATGTAATACTCCATTATATGTTAAATTAGTATTTGATGAAATGAAACTATGGAAATCATATACAAAAATACAAGAAAAAGATTTAGCTACAACAGTATCAACATCAATAAATAAATTATTAGGACGAATTGAAAATCAACATGGACATATATTAGTTGCACATGCATTTTCATATATAACAGCATCAAAATCAGGAATAAGTGAAGCTGAATTAGAAGATTTAATATCACTTGATGAAACTGTTTTAAATGATATTTATCAGTATCACTTACCACCTATTCGACGTATACCACCATTATTATGGACACGTATAAGAAATGATGTACCGAATTATTTAGTTGAACGAGAAGCGGATGGTGTTAGCGTTGTTAGTTGGTATCATCGACAATTTGCTGAAGGTAAAATTCATATTTTTCAGAAGTTTATTTCAAATATTCTAACATATGTATTGATATGTTGAACTTTGAGATGTACGTGATCAGCTTTGGTTTTGATCTTGGAACAGAAACTAAAGATTATAGTCAAATATTTTATGATTTTAACTCCTTAAGGATAGAGTTACTTCTAAGCGAACAAAGCAAAGCTTCGAAACTCTGATGAGATGTAGGCCTTCTATTTAGCAACACCTGCATCGAAAGTAGAGCCTGCCAGATTCAAAATTTGTGAACTTAGACTTAATCTATGGTAACTTGTGCACCTTACAGACGACTAAATCTCATCGGATCCGGGACCAACCCAATAGGCTCTACTCATATCCTCAAAAAAAAACAGATAGTAGTGTAGAACATTAATGATCTTTCTGATACCGAAGATCATACAAGCATCATAAGAGGTATACACAATTTAATTATGAGTTGATTTGAAACTGGACGTATAATATACGTCGCCCATTCTCAAGGGATTCAGCGTATTATCTTATAATTAAACAATAACTTGAAAGAGCGATGATCCAAAAGCATATTAGTCGTCAATTAAACCAAAAAATAAGTATTGACGAATTTTTTCTAATGTGATACAAATAAATTNATCTGACTTCACATTCGGATTCCCCGACCCCGATTTACTTTAGTCAGCCTTGAAAGAAAAATTTTCTGAGATGGATGGTTTTTTGACCCTGATGTTTTTTTGACCCCGACACAGACAGACACACAGACACACACACACAAACTATTTTTTTTCATATGACCCTCCCTACAGTCGAGGGAACATATTATTCTTATTTTAAAAAAAACAAATTCTTTTATTCTACTTTCAAATTAGATTCATCTTTGTTATTTATTATGGTTATTTTCACTTTCTTTCTTTCTTTTAATATTACATAAGAAGTCATCTTTTATTTCTATTTACCACTAAAAAAGTTAAAGTTTATTATAAAACATTTGATAAATTCAATGATTTTGATTGAATTCGATTTATTTCAACAGAAGTAAACTATTTTTTTCTTAGTTTTACTAGAATATTTACTAGATAATCCACGAATAGCTAATCAATATATTCGCATGGTTATTAAATAATACTAAAAAATAACACATGATATATTATATAACGCTAAAACGAGAGAGAGAGAGAAAGAGAGATCTACATGAAAACATTCGAATCTATTCTATAAAAATGAATATGATCAATGAGAAAAATTTGGAAAAATTTCTCTCAAATACTCATATGGAATGTTTCATGTTGCATTGTTGTAGACTGGATAAACCATGAATGGAGTTCAATCGTCTAAAATCAGGCCTCTCTCACTTCTATCAAGTGATGTGTCACTGGAAAGCATCACCAAAATAAAATTCTTACTTCGAACTCTTTTTCCATTTCGGAGTAAAATACATCTCGGATATATATTCCATAATGTTATGTCTATGAGAAGGTTTAACATTAAATCAAATGGCTTTGATAATCTTCTTCTAGTCAACTATTATACGAGTCAAATCAGTTAAATATAATAGACGATTTCAAGATTTGAAAAAAAAACAAAAAACTTATGGATAATAATTAACGAGACTATAGATTATAACGGACAATCGATTGATTTTCTAGATCGTACTCTGATAAGAGGAACATCATTTTCATCCTAAATTTTTGAGGAGAATTCTTTTTTTTATTCAATAGATAGAAGAGATCTATGTTTATCTTCTCAGATATTTGCTGGATCATTTTCTAATCTATATTCAATAGGTTATTTTAATGGTTCTGAATAATAACGAATAAGTGATGGAAATCTTGATAAAAATTTGGAATTTGAATGTGGTCTTGTTTTTAATAACATGTTCTGGCATGATTAACGTTGATAACAACTAACTCTCATTGAAGTTTTTGTTTAATGATAAAAAAAGGTTGATCAAATAGATTGATTGCTTCAGCTAATATTACTTTAATAACTACATTAAGATAAACTGTAAAAGGAAATATTGCCATAGATTATTTGAAAATTTCAAATTGCAGTCTACTTCACATTTCAAGTTTGACATCTGTGACTAGCTAAAAAACATATATGAATATGTTGAAAAGATTAGAATGGAGATATATCAGAACGAATATTATTATATATTTGACAATAATCTCACTTTTTATATAACAAAAGTATCTTCATGTGGTTCTAATGGGATCGACTTAATATAGTTCGAAGAGAGATATTGAGAATATTTCGTCAAAATGACAAACTATTACTACAGAGCTTTGAAAAGTTAATCGAAAATTATTCTTTTTTAAAATGTCTATATAATGTATGAAAATGAATAGATACTTATTCAAGTCAAAGATAAGGTTTACAATATTCAGAAGATTTTTACAGGTAAGTTTAGTATAAGGGAACGAATGAATTCTAAAAAGTCTTTTAATCGTATGGACATGAAAATAAAGAAAGTTAGTAGTTTCAATTTCTAACTATGCTTTGTGCTATAGAAACGTTGATATCGTTAATAAAAGACCGGAACTTTTTCAAATAGTATTTACTTAAAAAAATTCCTAAATATCTTTTATCGTTTCAAGTTCGATTTGATGTAGTGGAAGATAGATTGTTGATGAAGCAATAGTCTTGACAAAGTGAAACGAATTCTATTATTAAATAAATCATTAAATGATTCTTCTTACATATTGAAGTGATTCACTAAAATCAATTGGTTTTTTATATTGAAAATAAATTATTTTCAATATTCGCTCGTTATTGAATAGATCATATAATTGCTCATACATCAGAAGACGTTTCAAACTTAAGAGCATCTTGCTAATTTTTTATAGAAGCGCTTCAAGAAAAATATTTATAGATTCTTCTACTATTTGAACATTTGTATCAATAAACACTTTTTTTTTCATATTCAGACAATAAAAGAGAATATTTATTTTCCTTCGAATCTAATCTTTGTTTCTTATTTATGAAGAACTCTTTTTTTTCTAATTTATTTCATCAAAGACTAGAATTAATTATTATATTATCAGCTAACGATTCTCATTAATCTACGGTCAACTTATTTATTTGAAATATTTCAAATCGATTAGTATAATTCCATCTTATAAAATCTCACCACATGTATGGCCATACTTTTTACTTTTACAGTTTAATCCTTATAGATTGCCTTTTTTAAATGTTTTCTCCTCGGTCAGATCATATTATTTGTGTGTCGTTATTTAACGATATCACACTGACCTAAATATCTATCTATATCCTTTTCTATATTAACTCTATCCTGAATGGGTAGATATTTTCCCATTAGCTCTTAGGTTTTAATATAGCTCGACATATATTGACTACGACCATTAATTTATGATATTTAGATAAAGCAATTCGAACAGATAATTGTTGACATTGAAAGAAAAAAGTAAAGTCAAAAAACCAATGACAATGACATGAAAATTCAAAAAGAAAACTCCATTCATGATTATAAGAAAATTTTCTCTAGGTTTTTGTGATGATTGGGTAATTTTTTAATTGAACTCGTTTAATAAACTCGTTTCGGATAATTTAGAAGTCTGGAAGTCATACTATTGGACTAGAACTGGCAGAAAAAAACATTTTAAATTCGTGAACATGGAAACAGTATTCTGAACCAAAAATTCTCCAGAATTTTTCTGATGATTCGTGGTCGAAAATCTCTGGAAACATCCTCAAACTTTCTACTTCGAAATACTACTTAAATGTTTCGTCAATTTCCGACATTTTTCTGTTGACATCGGCCTGGATATGGATGCGAGTGCTGCAATTTTCTTCTGTCACACTCACCCACACCCACAAGTAAATAGCCAATAATAGTCTATTTTTAGAGAAAATCCATATCTAATTAATTTAGCATGAAAAAAAAGATGACATTTGTAGCTCCAAAACATCAAAACTTGATATGGTTGTCTGCTTCGATATTTTCGTCTACTAAAAATTGATCTATTTATGAGAAAATGTAACTAATCGTAAAAAGTTCAAACTTTTCTCTAAAAAAGATCGTTCCTAAAGAAAATCAGAGCACATTTATTTATTTTATGATGATTAATTTATTTTGATTTTATTTTTCATTCGTAGGGTGTGGATATAGGTGTGAATGAAGGAGAGATTAATATCTATATCCGACGTAGAATTCTATTGACAGAAATGGACGAGTCTGAGTCATAACTCGCACTCGAGTCAATAATTTTCATTCCAAAAAGATTTTTCAAGAGTTTTTTGACTTACGTGTTTATATGTTAGAAGTGTTAGTCTGAGCGTTAGGAGCCCCACTTGAGCTGTATTAAAAGTTAAAGTTAAAGTAGATTTTTTCACAAATATTTTTTTTATTCAGAAAAAACGAAATTTATGTGAAAAAAGTGCTTTTTTATGAAAAATTCAACTTTAATCTCGTTATCAGTACGCTTTTAAAGTTTAAGTGCTATCGCCACTAAGCGTACTGTTGAATATGTTTATTACAAAAGACTAAATCCATGGGATTTCTCCATGATTTGGAAAAATACTTGTTTTCAATTTTGATACTCTAATTAGACGTAACATCTTTGAAAAGGATTAGAAGTAATAGTAAAAACGTTTTTACGTACATAAAGTTTAGAAATTCAGATCCTTTTTTTAGGAACAACTCAAATGTAGGAAGCATACTCAGAACATTCTGAGCAGTGAAAAAACAAAAACTTTCAAAAAACAAAACGATTTTTTGAAAAACTTTGATAATTTAATGTTTAGCCTCCTGCATTAGTAATGGTATTTTGAATCTACCTCCTATAAGATAGAAGCTTTGTGGAAATTTTTCAACATGTCTAATATAACCCAAAAAACTTTGGCTCGACTTGATTTACCTATTGCTGCACTATTCTGAAAAATATAGTATACTCGTACGTTCTATATAAGTTACTTCGGACTTTCATTAAAAGTGTTGATTTAAACTGTTGAATAAAAAACAATCTCAATCATATTCATTTTTAATTGACATACACACAAAGAAAAAGAAGATTGTAGGAAGTCTGTCAGTGTTTTTGCTTTCTATATTTATTATAAAAGGATTTAATATAATAATTGCAATTGACAGAAAAGTATAGTAGAGTGAAAACAAAACGAGAACTATGTATTCATTAATCATTCTTTTCCTTTTTTTTTGTTTCTTTCTTCTTTGTACTCATTTGCACAATCTATGTTTACCTTCTATAGATTATATTTTATTTAGACAGAAATCTTGTCATTATATTGCAATATAACAATGCCTGAACCAACTTATACTGAGACACAAGAAGCTGAACTTATTCGACATATCTTTTATGGCAACTTGGATAATTTACCTAGTCTGGCTTCTAAAGTTTTGTGTATATTTACCTCATCTACATTTACAGGTAAATTAATTCGTATTTTGTTTTACTGATAATAAACAAAGAAAAATCTGTAAGTTACATATTCTAAACTTAAAGAATATTGTCGAGAAAAACATGGTCTAGAATTTCAAGTTGTTGATATGCGTTGGGGTGTACGTGATGAAGCAACAGATGATCATAAAACAACCGAATTATGTATGCAAGAAATTGATAATTGTCAACGAGTTTCTGTTGGACCAAATTTTGTGGTATAGAATGTGTTTATAACGATAAAAAAATTCGAGAACTTTGTCTTAAAGTTTAAATAAAACTTATCTATTTCATCTAGGTATTTCTTGGTCAAAAATATGGTTATCGTCCATTACCAACAAAAATTGAAGAAGCTGAATTTCGTAATGGTTTATCTGTATCAAGTCCAGATGATGCTCGATTATTTAGTCTATGGTATAAACTTGATTCAAATAATATTGCAAGTCTATTTTGTTTACAACCAGTCAGTTTAATTTTTATTAATTTTACAGATAAAGCGAATCCTCGTCTTATGGAAGAAGATGAAAGTCAATGGTGGGAAACTACGGGTAAACTTAATCGAGCAGTTCGAGTTGCTGCTTTAGAACTTTTAAAGCGAGGTATATTTTCACCATTCGATAATCATCGATATAATCGGTCAGGTTAGTTAATAATCAGTTTTTATTGTAAAATATCATAAAACAATAAATTTGATTAAACTTAGTTACTGAACAAGAAGTTGTTCGAGAAATATTAAATGCTAAAGACAGAGTCGATCATACATTAACGTTTTTTCGTAATATTGAAAATATTAATATCGGTTTACCACGTCATTCAATGAAATTTATTGATATTGTATCAAAACAAGTTGATGAAGAAGCACAACGTATGTTATCCGATTTACGTGATGTTCGTGTAAGTTGAATAATTAACAAGAACAGAAAAAAAAACAGTAGATCCCAATGAATGTAAATCTATTTTAGGTACCAGCAGCATTATCTGAAACAAGTATTATTCGATATACAGTTCAATGGACCGATGAAGATGGTTTAAATAAAACTTTTCATGCTGAATATTTACAAAATTTTATTGAAACATTTTATACACGACTCGTAGAACTAATCGATCGTAGTGTTGAACAACAAAAGAGTTTAGGGTCTAATCGGTAAAAATTTAAATTCTTGTTTAAATTTAGAAAAACAAGTGTCGTAAATCATAGAAGAAATAAGCCAAGTCATTATCTACACGATGATTGATTATAATTTTGCTATATGATCTTTTGTTCTTATTAATTAAAATTTTTAGAACAGAGATGTCCATCGCGATTAAAAAGTGACCGCTGCCGTGCTGCGACGATAACAGCAAAAAGGCTAACGTACCGCTACCGTGTCGCATCGCGACGGTAGTTTGAAAACGTTCGCCGCTACCACGTCGCGACTGCCATGGCGTTAGTGGTCGCGCCGCGATGGACATCTCTGGTTTAAAACTAAAGCTCATTGTAGAAAGCCAATTTAATGATTCCTTCTAAAATAAGAAGTAAAACGTATGCATCAAATCTACTAAATATCACTTAATAATATCATTAAATAGAAGTTGAGATAACTATAGTAAAACATAATACATAGAGGATTGTTTTGAACACCTAAATTTGTGATAGTTATAAGTCGATCCATTATTATGCCTAAATATCATTACGAGACTACCAGAATCATACAAGAATTTGGCTTCATGAGAGTTTCCTTCTAAAGTTTGAAGTTAATAGCATACAACAAAGATGAGTTAAACAATATGGACTGATTTTTATATTCTACTGATAGAAAAAGAAAATAATTTTGTAAATATTATTTATTTATTTTTCATTAGAATCTGTACAGAAATTCTTCAACAACTTCATGTTGTAAATAATTCCAGTCAAGATTTTCAAGGACGTACTGATGTTCTAGAACGTGTACGTCATTATGTTCAAGGTTCATCAAAACAACCATTAGTTTTATGTGGTGACGGTGGTTGTGGTAAATCAAGCATGTTAGCAAAAATAGGATCAGAATCTAATTCATGGTTTTCATAGAAACAATGTACACCAATAAGACTTGTTCGTTTTCTTGGTACAACACCAGATAGTTCATCAATTGGTCCACTATTACGTAGTGTTTGTCAACAAATAATTTACCTATATAACGTTGCGGATAATGTAATACCAACTGAATTATCTCAATTAATAAATTATTTCAAACGTTTATTAGAAAAAACAACAGCAGATAAGCCATTAATATTTTTTTCGACTCATTAGATCAATCATCATCAGCTGATGGTGCGCATTCAATGTCTTGGTTACCGCCATTTCTTCCAAATCATGTTAAACTTGTAAGAAAAAACGAATGTATAAAATAAGAAATTTATAACAAACATAAAACAATTTATACTTGTAGATTGTTTCAACATTACCTGGAATATATAACATATTAAATACACTTCGAAATTTAATTGATAGTCAGGAAAATTTTGTTCAAGTAAATATAACTTTAAAAATGCTTATTCTTGTCAGTATAATAATTATTTTTTTTTTCGGAATTTAGATAAAGCCATTAGGTGAAGAATCAGGTAAAACAGTGTTAAAAGCTTGGTTAGCTCGTCATCATCGAACAATATCTGAATCACAATGGTTGGTATTTTAATCTAACTTTTGTTCGTTCTTTATTTTTGTACATATACGTTCAATAATTCTTTATGGTAAAATAGGACATTAGTTCATAAACGTCTTGCTCAATGTAGTACTCCATTATATGTTAAATTAGTATTTGATGAAATAAAATTATGGAAATCATATACAAAAATACAAGAAAAAGATTTAGCCACAACAATATCAACATCAATCAATAAATTATTAGGACAAATTGAAAATCAATATGGACATATATTAGTTGCACATGCATTATCCTATATAACAGCATCGAAATCAGGTTTAAGTGAAGCTGAATTAGAAGATTTAATATCACTTGATGAAACTGTTTTAAATGATATTTATCAATATCATTTACCACCTATTCGACGTATACCACCATTATTATGGACACGTATAAGAAATGATCTACCAAATTATTTAGTCGAACGAGAAGCAGATGGTGTTAGTGTTGTAAGTTGGTATCATCGACAATTTGCTGAAGGTAGCATTCAAATTTTTTTAGAATTTTATTTCAATTATTCTAACATATGTATTGATATGTTGAATTTCGAGATGTAAGAGTCTAGTTTTGGTTTTGATCTTGGAAGAGAAACAAAAGGTTCTAATCTAATATTCCATGATTTTTTCAGTTTTTGAAAAGTGAGTTACTTTTAAGAAAGCAGAGGAATACTTCGAAACATCTGATGAGATACAGATCTTCTATTTAGCTACATCTTCATCCTAACTAGAACATGCCATGTTCAACATTTTTGAACTTACATTAGATCTAATCAATTCAAGGTTATTAAGATCCACAGCCGATGAATGGAAAATGTTGAGACTTGAAAGTGGTTTTCTTGTTTTTTTTTTTTTTTGTTCTATTTGATGAGCCAGCAACAAAAACACTTGATTCTGCATAATCTTCAATCAAGCTAGTTTTTAATTGTGACTTTGTTGAATTAAGAAAATATTTCTTTATAGTTTCTCATGAACGTTATTTGGCAAATCCAGACGAACGTCGAATATATCATTCTAATATGTCAGATTATTATTTGGGTATATGGGCTGGTTGTCCAAAACCTTTTCAATATACTGACCAATAGAGATGTATGTTTAATATAGCATCAGCTGAAAGCGAAGCTGATCGTAAAGTTCCAGCACAACCACTTATATTTATAACTAGTAATGCAACACCAACCGTTTATACAGCACCAACTGTTCGTTATAATTTACGTAAATTAAGTGAATTACCATATCAATTGATACGTGCACAACGTGAAGAAGACTTATATAAGAATGTTTTCTTTAATTATGATTTTATGCATGCAAAATTATCATGTATACTATTAAATTTATGTATATTTGATTATGAAAGTGCATTAGAATTTGTTTTTGATAAAGAAGTAAGAATAAGAAAATAAATAAATAAACAAAAACTTATTGAATTATGAATAAAACATTTTTTTTTCGTGGTTTCTCTAGGTTAAATTAGTAAGTGATGCACTTCGTTTATCAAGTTCAGTTTTAGCATCTGATACAAATAATTTATCATGTCAAATAATTGGTCGTCTACTTCCATTTTATAAAACATGCCATAAAATAGCTTCACTTACTGATCAAAGTGAAAGTACTGGCTTACAAGTAATGGGACTTTTACCAGCTTTTAATACATTACCATCACCTGGTGGTCCACTCGTTTATTCATTAGAAGCTCATGCATTTGCTGTCTATGGTCTTGAAGTTATTTCATCTGGACAATCTCTTCTTACTGTATCAAATCGATTTATTGTTTTTGATTTATCAAGTGGTGATATTGTACGTATTATTGATCCTAAAATTGAAGGTATTATGACATATTTAGCTATTGCACTTGATCAACGTTATTGTTTAACAGTCACAATAAGCAATCAAGATATTATATGTAATTTATTAACTGTAGATTTTATTTTACGTGATTATAATCCACTAACAAATAATCAAAAACAAACAAGTGGAAANATAAATGGAACAATGTTGAGAGCTGGGCCTTGCGCAGATCGAAAGAGAACAATTTTCTCTATTGAGTGGCTATATTGCAAGTCAAAATCAAAATAGAAATTACTTGGGAATATCGTTCACAAACGTTTCACCTACAACTTACCTGATTGGCTAATAGCTGACCACTCAAATTTCGAATATGTTTCGATGTCCCCCGGTGTCCTCTCTCGAATGGCGAAAACCGCAGGTCTCTACAATGCTCCTATGAAAAGTTATTCAAAAAACAGTGGAACACATTATATTTTGAAACGGATAATAGTTATAATTTTTCTGAACATATGTGATGATGATTCTGAGGAGAAATTAAAACATGTCGTATGAGTTCCTTGAAACATTTTACATTGGTTTCTATACAGATCCATTTCATGAAATAATTATTATTATACAAATTGGATAAACAAATAAATTTTTAATTCAATAGTTAAAGAACAAGATATAAATAAATTAGAAAATCACACAAACCGTGCACATAGATTATTTCGATTAAGTAAATTTGATAAACAAGAATATTCATATCTACATCTGGTATCTATCTCTAATTATTATTCGCGTAAGTTAATTATTTTCTATGATTATTTATTATTATTGTTTCTTATGGTTGTCTGTTATGATTCGAATCTGATAACTGATAACTGATCCGATCATAATAATAGATTTCATCTGGTTTTATAAACATCATTATTTCAATATTAATATTCTTTATTTCACATTTACTTATTGATTTAATATATTATTATTATTATTGTTGAAAAATATTTTTTATTGTCTCACTTTATTTTTGAAAATTTAAATCATATCCACTCTAGAACTGTAAACTTTTATCGTTCAAACTTTTTTATCATGTCTTTACTCTCGTTTTTTTCTTTTTTAATCTTATTTTTATTTTTTTCAATATTATTTTAATCTCTATTTATAATTTCTAGTGTAGAGCCCTGATGAGTGTTTTAATATTTTAATAAATAATACGAAATGTGTCGACGAAATTAACTCTGCATTTCTTTTGAATTATTTTAATCAAAACACTTTATTTTTTTATTATTATTCAATTTTAATTTGATTTTTGACTAGGTCAATTGCTGAAAAGCACGAGTTAAGAACAGCATATCGATTTGTATCAGAAAGATATAGGTCGATCTGTTTTCAATTGATTTACCCATAACTACACCCTATTTTAAAAAATTGAAAAGAAAATGATATTGAGGATGGGCTTGGTGTAGCGCGCATGGTGTGGGTGGTGTCAATGTTCGTGAAAAGAACACCGAAACCTATCCACACCCACACCCTCAACTCTTAATATGTATTCCATTTGATTTTACTTTACTAGACAAAACAGATATTCGGAATGTTAGGCTATAAATAAGATCAAGTTTCAAAAAAATTTATGGCTCCAAATCGATAAGTGTTGATTTTTTAATTATAATATAATTAAATTTTATAATTTATCATTCTTATAGAGTCATGTTTTTCGAAAATAATTAATAATGAGATCCATAAATAAATTTAACAGATATTCTTCTTGAAAACTAAATTCAATAATTAAAGATATCTTCATTTATTTAATAAATAAAGCAAAGATATTTAATTATTCTTCTATTGTACCACCCATATTAAGCGACATTTATGTGTTAATGTTAATCTCCATCGCTAATCTTCAACTATTACATAATTGAATGATTAAATATTTTACACCTTAACTATTGAGGAATTGATCAGTTACATTCAACTTTTTTTTTATTTGAAATGCATATTATCTATTGTCAATATAAATAATTGGATAAATGAAAATTCATCTAAGCCAGATATTTTTTACAATAAGATGTGAAAAATTACACTAAATAGTAAATATTTGAATTTATTGATGAATACATTTGACAAATTTCAAGGATATAACGTAGTTTTATGAAATGCTGTTAAAAACGAAAAAAAAAAGATTTATTTGATATTTGTTGAACTGATTTCGTATAGTGAATAAAAGGGTGTGGGTGTAGTCGTGTGTGGATGTGGGTGTTCTTCTCCCGTTTACTCAAACCCATTCCATCACCCACACCCAAAATCTATCTCAAATACAATTAGATTTCATTTCAAATATTGCTTGAATATTATTAATTGATCAAACTTAGTTGGATTGATTTGTCTAAGACAACATAGCAAGTTTTGACATTCCGTAATCTTGTGCCCACAAAAGAGATTAATTAGATCTTGATGAAGCAACATCAAAGTAGTTATTCTGTTGCAAGGTACCTTTTTTTTATTCTCTTTTCTGACCGAAAAAAAGATCATGAATTGTGACGAGATCCTTTATTTTAATAACTTATGGTTTATTTAGCGTAATAGTGCACGGTTCAATATGAGCACAGTGTCCAGTCAGACACATCGTTTGAACACAAAAGGGTCCTTTGGTTGTCATGCACGTTCTGCACAACCGGTTCGTTTTGCACGATCCAGGTTGAGTGCATTCTTCACCTAATTGAAGAGAACACGGTTCAATTTGTGCACAATATCCGTTGACACACAAAGGCATTGTACATGCCGGTGCCTTTCCTTTAACGCATTCGGCACAGATTCTTTTCGAAACTTGGCATTGAGAATCTTTGGTACAGGAAGTCGAGCTTACATTCAAAACCGAACTGCTTGAGAGTAGGAGAAGAGCAAGAAGAGCTGAAGGCCAAATATGCATCACTGTTGTTTGTTATGAAGGTTGTGTCGATTCAATCGTCTTTATATCTGCCTAATCGCTCTACAATTATGTGTCTTTTCTTTCTCTCTCTCTCTTGTATTTTATATAATATCTAAAAAATGTGAAGCTGCTTCTTATCTCTAGATCAAATATTTTGTCTAGTAGTGAAAACAGGTGTGAGAGAACGAACATTATTGAGTGGTTGTTATGATTGATCAGAAACCAATTGATACAACAGAGAGAGAAGAGAAACGCATGGGAAAAAGCCAATATTGAAAGCAACGTAAAGATAAAATGGAGGTTATCGATTTAATCAAGCCATCTGTGTGTTATTATCGTCCATCATTCACGTCTAATGAATGATGAATAAATACAACAATTATATATCAGCTTGTACGCATTTTCTGTATTCAATGGATCAACGTTTTTTCGTTGCTCATGGGCGTCAAGTTAGAGTCGTTGTTTGTTTTTTTGAATATTTCTTTCATTTCGAAAATATTCGATTCTTTTCCAACTCGTTTTCTGATTTATTTCGTATTATTAAGCATAGTTCTTGACTTATACTTTACGATCATATCATTCTTTTGATATCCTTGATAACGCATATTGGATGATAAATGAGAAGCTCTTGTAGTTATTTTGGAGTTTAGCTCATGACTAATGGGATAAAAGAATTAAAAATATTCCTCGGTATTGCAGAAAATTACGTGAAGGATATTGATGGACATGTCAAGCTTTGATGAAACCTACGATGAATTCCTTGTCGTAGAAAAGAGAGCATCACTATGGTTCTTCTGCAATAAAAATAAATCTGCTTTTCTTTCTTTTCTCTCTCGGTGTTTGTGTTTATTCACCACCATTTCCACCACAACATTTTTTCTTCACTTATTTACGACTGAGTGGAAAGATATGCTCCAGCCCGACCTTTCTCCCAAATTTTGCAGCATTCATTAAATGTTTTTCAAAAGAAGAACTTCATCATATTGGTCTTGTCTTTATTCAACAATGACAATATTCGATTCACAAACAGCAACATCACTATCCATCACACACGTCGCGACATTCACCTCATTGTTCTCCTCCTCGTCCGCCACAAGAAATTAGTTCTTGAGGGTATAAGTATCGGGTGTGGCTGTCGGTGTCCGTGTCTACTTGAGTCTTCTCTTTACCCACCCACATTAATAGTTACCCTTATTTGTTGAGTAAGATACTTATTCTGTTACGATTATTATATTCTCTATGGTATAAAACAAATTTACATACATGTAATATGTATAAGATATATTTTTACCTGATTTTTATGCATGAAAACATCTCTAGTTGACATTGATTTTTCATTATGAAAATAAAAAAAATTTTGTAGTTTATGAAATTTCAATGTTAGCTATAAAACTTGGCTTCATTGGTTTTTTTTCAGCTTTTTATTATTTCTACCACTAATATAAAAATATAAGAAGCAACATCAAGCACTTAGTAATAGCAAAGAAGATTTGAAAAAAAGAAATATTTTGGTCAGAAAATGAAAATGAAAATGTAAAATTATAACGTACAAAACGATCATCAACAGATAAGAAATGAATAATTTTATTTTCTCTGAGTTTTAAAGATCTTCAGCAAAAATTTATTCTATATTATTAAAAAAGAAATCAAACTACAGTATTTCGCATTTTTTTTTCTATTAACTATCAATCTTTATTATAATATCTCTAATTAAATCAATTGTATTTAGTTTTCAACTAGAGTAATTGTGACAGATATAATTATGTTTGACTTTGTGTTAACTATATTTAGAACATATTTTACATTTCACATGAACATTTTTAGTCAATTTATCAAATTTTTTCTTGGTTTTTGTTACTAAACATTAACAATAAGCTTTGCAATGATATATATCTATGAAGTATTATCTATATTAGAAGAAACATGAGAAAAAAAGATTGATTTTTATTCGTTTAGACAAGAAAAATAGGAATATAATTAGGTAAATATATGACTATCGAAGAACTTTTCTAGATAATCATTTTTTTTGTGCCAACAATTATCAATTTAGCTAGATGCTCAAACAGACAGGAATATATAAAGACGCGTTAAAATGTTCTAATCATAGTTTCGGTTTGAGTATTTGAACGTTCATTCAAAGAAAACTCAAAGCAGCTACTTTCATCATCAAATGTATATGAAGATTAGGAAACTTTGGTTTCACGAAACTTGAACCTGAACTAAAGAAAAACTAAACTTCTGGATCCGTATTCGATCTGAACCCGATAGATGCAGACACAGTTTTCGTTTTTTGTCAATATCTGTTATTGTTTGTATAAATGAGCAAATGAAGGATAAATGTTTCATCTATTTCTTGGTTATCCTCAGAAAAAAAGTCAGAGCACAATTATTTGTTGTATTTTTCTCTAATCATTCAACTCTTAATAAACTAAAAGTCTTGGATTAGCTGAAAATAATATCATGTTAAGAAAAACAGAAATTAAGCAATTAATTGATCGAAAAGATTCGTCATTGAAAATCGTCAAAATAATAATAGTACTAAAATATTCAGTTGTATGAAATTGTTTTAGTTGTATTTATCTAAGTGAGATCAAAGAAAAATATGCTATTTTCATTAAGTGTAAAGATTTACTTATGTATAAATCGTCATATAAATAAAATAGAAGAAAAGAGGTATTAATACGTTGACTTCAACGCTTATCTATATAGAGTGTAAGTTGTATGCAAACCGAGCTTGTAGTTTAATCTTGATATCAACCTAGATCTGACAATAAATTAAATTTTGGACTCGGGCTCGAGCCGATGGCATCGAGGTTCAAAAGGATCTGCAGTTCTCTAATGAAGAAGTTTCAAAACACAACTTGTCCATCGGAAAAGCCCGGAAGAGTTTTTCGCATAATGTTTTCCAATATTTTGCGAATAAAACTGACTTTTTTTCTATATCTGATGTATGTTGAAAATATAGCGAAATTTTTTTAAAATTTTTTCCACATGAAAAGTTATCGCTTTAACAATGGAATTATTTGTGCTGTAAATTGTTAAGATTACAGGGATATAATCGATTTTTAAGGTATTTTTAGTTTAAGTAAGCTATTCACAACTCAGAATTTTAGTAGAATACATTATTGTTTCCTTCTGACGGTTTGATAGAGTTCGTACAGCTACATCAGAAAAAACATGTTTGAAATTTTTGAAAAAATAGTTTTACGAAACTCTGCATACTTAACCGAAGTATAAGTGAAAAAAAATTTTACTGAAATTAAGGATGTAGAATTCTCGCTCATGAGTGTGAGTGTTTCTTCTGTACTGTTGATGGGTCTGTGACAGGGATACCCTTAGTGACTCATAGACTATGTACGGGGCACACATATATCATCATGGACTATATAACCCGGCTCCCCATAACTCACCATCGGCTATCTAGAACTGGTCTCCATTACTCTTCTAGATCAATACAAGATTGTTCTCGTATTATAAACGATCACAAGACAGGATAGTCCTGCTGTCAGGATGTCATTTGTCTGTTCTACTTTGAAGAAGAAGAGGGATTTAAAATTTTTGTTCTATTCTGCCACCCACTAGATCGAATGAAGTGAGCAGAACAGAATGGAAATCCTTGTTCTTCATTCATCGGTAGGAGATAGTCGATCATCGGTTTTCGATTTTATTATCTAAAGGAGAAAATTATGTTCAGTTCTGAATAACTTAATCAAGTTTTATAAATTCTGCTAATGACATAAAATGATGAATTTCATTGAAAAGGACTTTCTTTTTTTTTTTTTGTGTATTCAATAGACAAAATTAGGATAAATAAAAATAAAACGTAGTTTTTCACAATATCGAAATGCAGAACTGATTCTATATATATGGGAATGAACAGTCTAGTCAAATATCTCAATTCTTTGTTATATTGTACAATTTTTATAATCTATCAGAAAAATCTGATTTCTTTTTATCAATTGTAATATTTAAGTAGTGTTGATGAATTGCTATTATTTGGGTTATATATTCTGTAAGACACAAAAATAACCAAGACTCTTTATATGTTATTTCAACTGATATCGACGAGTGATAGTAAATAACTAAGTGTAATCAAAATAATTTTGAAAAAAGATTCGACGGAGTTCCTTGATTATTTTGGTTTCTTACAGAATATATAATCCAAATAATAGCAACTCATCAGCACTACTTAAATATTATAAATGGTAAAAAAATCATATTTTTCTGATAGATTATAGAAAGTATACGATATAACAAAGAATTTAGGTACCCGACCGAGACTGATCATCTTCATATAGATCCGATGAGAAGAACTTTGTAGGTATTCACGTTCAAACAACTTAGATTTTCTTGTATTAATACGATCAATTTTTTTTTCCCATGAGCTTAAACTCTGAGAAAAGACAATTTTCGAACATTTATACGCGTTTTTTCCAAATCATGTCTACTTGAGAAGCGTTAAAACCAGTGCTATTATAAGCAAATGACAGTTATATATCGCTGAAAGATTTTCAATTAAATATTTCTAATAGTAAATGATTACATGAAAAAAAATTTTTATAGATAATGATAGAGATAATCATCGAAATTTCATTCTATTTGCTTTAACAAATCAAAAATAATAAAAATAAAATCTGTTTTGCACATCTCACATCAATTATTCATTGGAAAATCTTTACATAATATTAATGAAAAATTGTTATTTGTTTTTTTGTAAATCCGTCACTTTTTTAATATGGGAGAAAGGGAAAAAAAAATAACTTGATTCAAAATGATTCAATCTCGAAAAATCTAAGTTGAGATAAATAATTCATTTTCATGAAATAATAGTTTGATTAACATAATGATAAAATTCATTGTCTAACTTTGTTATATCTTCTTTACATGAATTCATCAATATTCTAAAAAACTTGAAACATTATTATATTTTATTGAACTTTTCTCTTTGATTGATTTCTCCTTGACAATATCAATAAATTTACTTTTAATAAACTATTTTTTTTTTTTTTTTTTTTTTTGTACGTCTAAATACTGCTGTGATATTGAACTAGATTTTATTCGTTTTGATAAAATGTCGATGAATTAATAAGATAAAATAATGTTTAATATTCTAATCGTTTGCTTGTGAATGGTGTTTCAATATGAAAAATCGAGAAAATTTAGTTCTAAAAAATAACTTATCAATATTTTATGATATATCGATTGAATGAAAAAAAAAATTATTTTTATAAAAGTAAAAGAAAAATGTTTCAGGTTGAAGTTCTAAAAAAGGGAAGGGGTTGAAGATTTTCATTTTTCAATGAAAAAATGTACGTTATAAACGAAGATATATATTATATTGTTGACTATTAACGACATCTTTAATTATTGTGGTCAATGTATATTGACAATGGCTAAATAATGATAAATCAGATTTTATTTTTCCTTTTTCATATTCTTCATATAATGATGGTGAATTCAATTCTATATAGTGAGAGTTAGAAAAAAAAAAAAAGGCCCAATGGTACCTATTATGTTTGATGAATTAAATGTGTTCACATTTCCTCATAGTCGTATGAGAAAATTATTAAATTGTTGTACTTCAGAAGTAATTTGACATTTTATTTTATTTTTAATTATTCTTTTTTTTATAAAAGTTTCGTATTTTTTGTTTTGTTAATAAAATAGTTTGGTCATACAGATTTTACAAGTTTAAATGATTTTGAAGAATTATTAATACGTTTACAACGAATATTTACAGAATTTATGGCACATGAAGAAATTGAAAATCATTTAGTTATGAAAAAATTAAAGAAAAAATTAAAACAAAATTCTCCAATTGATGATAGTGAACTTATTTGTAATTGTCATAAAGTTGATCGTTTTACACCATTAATGACTTTATTTCGTGATGGTTATGCATTTATAAGAAGAGGAAATGCTGATAGAATGTCTTATGGTGTTAAATTACATAAAGCAATGAGAAATTTTTATAAAGATTTTGTACCACATATGAATGAAGAAGAAAATGTTTGTTTCATTTTTATTTTATTTTTTTTTATTTAAATAATAAAAATAATAATAAAAAAAACTTGTAATCTATAGGATATTCAACCATTGCTTTCAAAATATTTTACTGAAATTGAAATAAAAATGATGCGAACTGAAATTATTAAAATGACTTTACAAAAACGAGAAAGTTCAACAATTAATTTGATTTATCAAATTGAACGACCATTGAAAATTTATGGTAAATAAAATATATTTTATATATTTATTTTATTTATTTAATTTAATTTAATTTAATTTAATTTAAGTAATATCATATGAAAGATTAACATCAATTAATAATTTATCAAATAATAATTTAGAATATATTATGAAATATTTAAATGATCGACAATTAAAACAATCTTGTATTACAGTTAATAAACAATGGAATCAATGTGCATTAAAAGGTTTTTATTTTTTTTCTTATTTATAATTTTATTTTTTTTAAAATAGTTCTTAAAAATCGTTGTCCAATATCACAAATTCCTGATGAAATATTATTACGTTTATTTAAATATTATTTAAATCCATATGATTTATTTCATTCTTGTATTAATGTTAATAAACAATGGAAATATATTATAAAAGAAAAAACAATTTGGAATATTGTTAATCCTATTAATTGGTCAAGAGGTATTTTGTTTTTAATTTTGTTTTTATTTAAATAATATTTATTTTATTATTTTTTTGAGGTCAATGGGATTCAAATATTTCATTAGAAGAAACAAATATTAATCAAAATCATTATGATTTATTTGTAAGAATAGAAGATTTTTATTTATTTATTATAGAAATAATAAAATATAGATAAATTATTTTATTGATAAATCTTTAAATTCAATTTTACTACACAAAAGACATTTTAAATAGAGACAATGTTAAAATTGTTTTTTATTCTATGAATTTATCTTAAAAAGTTTATAATATAACAAAAACAAATGAAAAAGTAATGTTTTGAGAAAATTTCATGTTTTTTTGTTTTGTTTTCGATTTTGTGATATTATTTATTTTTTCCAAGGTAATATCCTAAAATGATATTGTTTTTCTAAATGTTTCCATAATAGTTCATGTAATATAGAATTTATTTAATAGAAAATTCGATTTTTCTATTATAATAAATATCTCTATTTTAACTAATTCCTTAAGATTATAGAAAATAAAATGGAAAAAAAAGGTTGTTGGTAAACTTTTTTTTGACAATCTTCTAAATAAAAATGATTGAAAAATAATCTTTTTTTTATTTAATAATGTAAAATAGTTTATTAAATAACTGTATATATGTCAAAGAAAAATGAACGAAATAATGAATGTTAGTAGATTTAAATATAGTTGATTTATGATGAAAATTTTTGAATAATATATTTCTATGAATTTATTGATATTATTTTAATATATTTAGAAAATGAACGAAATTCGAATATTATCTGGTTTTGTTAATTATTTTTTACCTGAATATGGTTGTTCAATTTGATAAATCAAATTAATTGTTGAACTTTCTCGTTTTTGTAAAGTCATTTTAATAATTTCAGTTC